GACTCACGCCGTCAACCGGTACTATTACAGAAACGTCCACGCAACTGACTCAATTCGTCCACCGGTATTGGTACAAAAACCATCCATGTTTTTCCATAAAGCACTAGTACTGACTCAATTCGTCAACCGGTACTAGGTATTCCGTCCCTCTCATCCTAGTGTTGACTCCCTTCGTCAACCGACACTAGGTATTAGGTTTGTCCATTGTTCAAACACATACATACATATTTTTCCTTTTTAGTCAAGTTCGGTTTTCTCTCAGTAATTTAGTTCTCACACTCTCTTCGGTTTGAATTTCATTCTTAATCTCGTAAATTCCCTTGTTCCCGTATTAACTTGTGAATTTCCTTTCTTTCGTATTTTTATTATGACTTCTTTTATTAAGTCTCGATCGAGTCGGTCCATTTAGTTGAACCGGTCCGATCTGGAATCGTTTAGGTCGAGTTATCCGATTTTTGTTACTAGACCGGCACAATTTGATGTCAAATCGTCCGATCTAGACAGGTACTTTGGTAAGTTTCATTTATATGCCTAGATCGATCGATCTGCTCACCGGGTCGGTCAGTTCAGGGGGTGCGTTCTAAATCATTATTTCTTATGTCTAGTTTTTTATCGGCTTTTTATGTCAATTGCTACTCATTTATTACTAAACATCCTTAGGTCCTAAATCCTTGCAGAAATACTAATCTACACCATTAAACATGAGAATTAAATCTCACAAACTCAACTCAAAACCACTCACTATGTTTCGGCTCGGATATTGTGCGTCAGTACTTGGTCCTGTGTGTCTCCAAACTCCACGTGCGTTGGTTACTCTCCCCCCTCTCTTTCTCCTCTACTCTCTTTTTGTCCAAAATCGACTGAATTGAGAGGTTGTTTGTTTGATTTTTTTAGCATACTGTCACGGTTTCCACCATGGCACTAACCTAGTTCTAACACTATGCAACGGAAAGATAAATTCATAATTTATTAATCCTAGAATAGGAAAACACTAAAATATGAAGAGAGATACTAACCTTAACCGGCGAGACTGGACCCGGCGACGCCCGTGCACCACTAGAAGACGCCACAAAAAGTAACGCCCTCTACGGTATCTACACCGCAGATAGATCCAGCAAGTGGATCTGGCCTGATAAGGCCTAAAAATTTGTCGCTAGTCCTGAGAGGTTTCCCAGAGCTTATGGTCGTATTAGACTTCTTATAAAGCTCTCTAGATCCCCTATAGGACTTTGGACTTGGTGTGTTGAAGTCTTGAGCCAAACTCCCCTTATATAGAGTTCCAAATCCTTGAAAATGGGTAGAATTTTCGATGTGGGATTTTTGCTCGGTTACTATTCACTAACACTATTCACGGTCACTATTCACAGATACTATTCACGGTTACTATTCACCGACGTTATTCATCATTTTACAGATTTATGCAAATTCGACCGAGTTTCCACATCGTTTTATTTTTCACTTGAATGAAACTGATTCAACCAAATTTGACCAAAATTGTACGAGTTGCTTTTACTCGATCAAATCAACTCTCCGCCACTTTAGATCATTCTGTGTCCTTTTTTTTTTGGGCTGACCAGTCTGATCTATTTTGTGTCCTTTTTTTTATGATGTTGTACCTTATATTTAAACTAATGTCCTGTCTATTTAATTATTTATCTTTGAAAATAATTAAATATTCAAATCAGATTTCGGGGTATTACAAATCATTCCCCCTTAAAATGAATTCGTCCCCGAATTCTGATATACTTAGTGTAACGAAAACACTTCTTTGCATTCCACAACAGTTCATTACAAACGTGTATCTTACATCCGAACTATTACATCTTCCTAAACAAACAGCTGAGGGTAGGTACTACGCATCTCTGTCTCAGGTTCCCATGTCATATCGGAGACCCCTTGGCTTCGCCATACCACCTTGACGAGTGGCACCTCCTTGTTTCGCAGCTTTTTGATCTTTCGATCCACGATCTGCAGTGGCTCATCCCGGAAACGCATAGCACTAGTGAACTCCAATTCTTGTGGTTGTATCACGTGGGAAGGGTCTGCCACATATTTCCGCAGCATTGATATGTGGAATACGTCGTGAACGTTGCCCAACTCTGATGGTAGTCCAAGACGGTACGCCACAGCTCCCACCTTCGCGATCACTGGGTAAGGACCGATGTATCTCGGCTTCAGTTTTCCGCCTTGTCCAAACCTTGCATGCCCTCGCATCGCCTGAACTCGGAGGAAGGCTTGGTCTCCCACTTCCAGAGTAAAGTCCCGCCTCCTCTGATCCGCATAAGATTTCTGCCAATCTTGTGCGGTCTTCAGGTTAGCTCGAATCTTCCGAATCACCTCCGTTGCCTCTTCGACAATCTCTGGTCCGAAAACTCTACGTTCTCCGATTTCGGTCCAGCACAGCGGTGTCTTACACGGTCTTCCATACAATGCTTCATACGGTGACACCCCAATGCTCGCATGATGACTGTTGTTGTACGCAAACTCGCACAACGTCATGTATTGGTCCCATGGAACTCCCCACTCTAGTACACATGATCGGAGCATGTCCTCTAGAGTCTGGATGGTTCGCTCCGATTGACCGTCCGTCTGGGGGTGATATGCTGTACTCATCTTCAACTTAGTACCCAATGCTCCTTGTATTGCCTTCCATAGGCGAGATGTAAATCGAGCATCCCGATCGGATATGATCTCGCTCGGAACTCCATGTAGTCGTATGATCTCATCTATGTACACATGTGCCAACCGATCAATAGGGTACTCTTGTCGAATAGGGATGAAGTGAGCAGATTTAGTCAGTCGATCGACGACTACCCAAATGGCGTTCTTTTTACTTGGAGTAAGTGGCAATCCAACTACAAAGTCCATCGCGATGGAATCCCACTTCCATTCTGGAATTTCCAACGGTTGTAGCTTACCACCCGGCATCTGCCGTTCTGCCTTTACCTGCTGACAAGTAAGACATCTCGCTACAAAGTCGGCCACATCCCTCTTGATTCCCGGCCAAGTATACCACCGTCTCAATCCTTGATACATCTTGCTTGCCCCGGGATGTATAGCTAGTCTTGATTGGTGTGCCTCTAACAGTATCTCTCGTCTCAACTCTGGATCATCTGGCACACATAGTCGATTACCTAGTCGTAATGCTCCCTTCTCATCGATACGGTACCCTTTACGACCGTTCTCCTCTATACCATCCATGTACCGAGCAAGTAAAGGGTCGTTACGCTGTCCAACGATCGCTCGTTCTGTGAAGGTTGGGTTCGGTTCATCCGATGCCAGGATCAAGTGTCCCAACATCGCCGTCAATTCGGCGGCATTGATGCGCGAAGACGTTACAATGCGAATGGCAGCCAAAATTTTCTTCCGACTAAGGGCGTCAGCTACCACATTAGCCTTTCCCGGATGATAGGAAATCTCCAAATCATAGTCGGCAATGAGTTCCAACCATCGTCGCTGCCTCAAGTTTAGATCCTTTTGAGAGATCACGTAAGTTAAACTCTTGTGATCGGTGTTGAGCTTAACCTTCTCCCCATATAGGTATGACCTCCAGATCTTTAGAGCATGTACTACCGCTGCTAACTCCATGTCATGTGTCGGGTAGTTTTCTTCATGCTTCTTCAACTGTCTCGACGCATAGGCAATGACGTGTCCTTCTTGCATCAGCACGCAACCTAGTCCTTGTTTGGACGCATCGGTGTAAACCTCATAGAGCACCCCTGGACGTGGCAATGCCAGGATCGGTGTTGATGTAAGTCTCCGCTTTAACTCCTGAAAGCTTCCTTCGCACTCTGGAGTCCATTCAAACCTGACATTTTTTCCTGTTAGTTTCGTAATGGGCCGGGCAATCTTAGCGAAACCTTCCACGAACTTCCGATAATAGCTTGCAAGTCCTAGAAAACTCCTAACCTCCGTCACAGAGGTCGGGGGCTTCCAGTCTATTATCGCCTCGATCTTGGCTGGATCTACCTGGATTCCCTGAGTTGACACCACATGTCCCAGAAATCCAATTTCCTGTAACCAGAAGCCACACTTGCTGAACTTCGCATATAGCTTGTTCTCCCTCAATCTCCATAGTGTTTTCCGCAAGTGTTCCTCGTGAGTCTGTGCATCCGGTGAATATATAAGAATGTCATCGATGAATATGATGACAAACTCGTCTAAGTAGTCCATGAAAATGTGGTTCATCAACTGCATAAATACCGCCGGTGCATTCGTGAGTCCGAATGGCATGACTACAAACTCAAAATGTCCATACCGAGTCCGAAACGCCGTCTTCTGTATGTCCTCAGCCTTGACCCGAATTTGGTGGTATCCGGATCGCAAGTCGATCTTCGAGAACCACTTGGCCCCTTGAAGTTGATCAAGTAACTCATCAATCCTCGGTAATGGGTAACGATTTTTGATAGTCACCTGGTTGAGTCCACGGTAGTCAATGCACAATCTCATGCTCCCATCTTTCTTCCTTACGAATAATACCGGTGCTCCCCAGTGTGACACACTGGGGCGTATGAATCCTTTTTCCATCAATTCGTTCAACTGCTCCTTTAGCTCTGCCATTTCGGTTGGTGCCATCCGATACGGAACCTTGCTGATGGGTTCGGTGCCTGGAAGCACGTCGATGGTAAAATCTACCTCACGGCTTGGTGGTAGTCCAGGTAAGTCATCAGGAAAAATATCTAGAAATTCCCGAGCAACTGGAGTATCCTCCAATTTTCGTTCTGGATCTGAATTTTTGGTAGCGGTGATGACTACGAAAAATGCTTTGATGCCCTTTTTTATCATCTTTTCGGCCTTGAGTGCCGAAATGATGGGGTTCGTCGATGGCGCTTCTCTTCCACGAAACTCAAACCCACCGTTTGCATCCATGAATCGTATGGTCCTTCTCCGACAATCAATCTGAGCTTGGTACTTTGACAACCAATCCATGCCCAATATAATACTGTAGCCACCAATAGGTACCACTATGAGATCTGCGGCCAAATTACGACCACAGATGTCTAGCGATACTCCTCGTAATGTCCCATTATTGGAAGTATCTCTCCTGATGGTGTGCGAACTGTGAAGTCGCTCCCTAGATCTGTTCGTTCCATGTCTAGTTTCTTAGCATTTTCCAAGCTCAAGAAACTGTGAGTAGCTCCAGTATCAAATAACGTATAGCACTCTACATCGCAAAGATGAAGGGTACCTGCAATAGCAACAGCTTCCTCTGCTTCGGAATCAGTCTCCTCCTCTTGTATCTCCATCTCAGATGCAAGGGCATACACCCTCGGGGCTGCTCCGGCCCTCGGTGGTGGTCGTGGTGGTCTAGTAGCTGGCAATGCCTCTATGTTCGCCGTGCAATTGGCTGCAAAGTGTCCGGGTTGTTGGCATCGGAAGCAGGTCAGCGGTCCTCGAACAGGTGGAGGTGGTGCACGAACAGATGGTGCCTTCACTTTTTGTTGCGCCTCGTTGCCCTGACTAGATTGTGCGACTTTCACTGGAGGTCGGGTGTGGGTGTAGCGTCTGGGAGGGCTCCGATCTCGGATCCTCTCCTCCTTCTCTTCCTTCTCTGCCTCTTCTGCTTTCTCTAGTTGATCGATGCAGTGGCCTAGTGTCCGGAACTCGTGAAGTACGACCTTTCTGCGGAGCGATGGTCGTAAGCCAGCAATGAACTTCTGGATCTTCATATACTCATGGGGTACTAGGTGTGATGCATAGTTGAGCATAGGGATAAATTCTGCTTCATACGCTCGTATGGTCATGTCACCTTGCTGTAGGTTCAGAAAAGCGGAGAGGCTCCGTTCCTGATCATGTCGTCGGTAGTACTTCCGTTCAAACTCCTCCTTGAACTCTTCCCAGGAGAAGTGATGTCCAGCTGGCATCTCCTCGGTCACCTTCCTCCACCAGTGACGAGCTGGTCCGGACAAATGATGGCTCGCTATCGTGGCGCGATAGCGCAGAGGACATTGGACATACTCCAAGTCCTGTGTAATTTGTGTCAGCCATTCTTCTGCGACCTCGGGATCCAGCGATCCCTCAAATCGTGGGGTGTGCATAGACCGCAACTCTCGAATGATCGGCAAGTAGTCTCCCGCTGTGGCTGGTGCAGGTGGAGGAGGTGGTAAGTCCTCCGCCATTGGCCCTTGATCTCTTACTGGGGGTTGGGCTGGAATGTGCGCCCTCAGAGTTTGTATCATCGCCTCTTGGAACACACGCAGCTCGTTCCTCAACTCGTTCCGCATCTCTTCTTGGAACTCCTTAAGTCCATCAGCACGGGGGTCATGGTTGGGCACGCTGTTATCTCCCGTTATTGACCGAGCACGTCGTGGCGCCATTTCACTGCACCATGTGTTTATACTTAGCAACGACGACTAGTAGAACATCATTACATACGGTCGTTTGTAAAACAGTTTTCTTTTAGAAATGATTATCGAAAAATATTTTCCAGTGTAAAAACCTTAAGGTAATGAGTCGTTGTTTCCCGTGGATTGAACGTCGCTCTGATACCAAAAGTTGTGACGCCCGAATCCTGAATCCCGTAATCAGGATGCGACACGTGGACAAATTACAAAACTCATATATAAAATCAAACACGGGATTTTTAAAACAATTTAAAATATCAATACACGCAGCGGAAAAACATTAATACAAGCATTCAAAAGTATTTCATATCCGAAACCGAAATCAAAACAACATAATGATGGGATCAGTATCCCCAATCCAAACCATAGTTTTAAACTCCGTACATATAGTGCAGCCTCGGTAGTCGTCGATCGTGCTGCTACTCGTGCTCCTCGAGATCTGAAAAAGATTCAACAACGGAGGGCTAAGCATAAAGCTTAGTGAATGGCTCGGGTTTAGCCTGGAAATCCCGTTCTCATGGAGAACGGTGCCAACTAATATTTCTATGCAAGAATTTCCATTTTATATTTGATCAATTCACACATTAATCTGATTTGATTATTCATTATGATTATACCCTATGACCACAGTCTTATGGTTGATTCATGCATCACTGATATACGATAGCACTGACTCAATTCGTCTACCGGTACCATCGTATATCCCCTTGTCTTACCTAGTACTGACTCCACGTCGTCTACCGGTACTAGGTTCAACCCGCTTCTCTGTAGTAGCACTGACTCAGTTCGTCTACCGGTACTACAACAGAGATGTCCACTCAAACATCAGTACTGACTCCACGCCGTCAACCGGTACTGATGTTACACTTCTATAATAATACTGACTCACGCCGTCAACCGGTACTATTACAGAAACGTCCACGCAACTGACTCAATTCGTCCACCGGTACTGGTACAAAAACCATCCATGTTTTTCCATAAAAGCACTAGTACTGACTCAATTCGTCAACCGGTACTAGATATTCCGTCCCCCTCATCCTAGTGTTGACTCCACTTCGTCAACCGACACTAGGTATTAGGTTTGTCCATTGTCCAAACACATACATACATATTTTTCCTTTTTAGTCAAGTTCGGTTTTCTCTCAGTAATTTAGTTCTCACACTCTCTTCGGTTTGAATTTCATTCTTAATCTCGTAAATTCCCTTGTTCCCGTATTAACTTGTGAATTTCCTTTCTTTCGTATTTTTATTATGACTTCTTTTATTAAGTCTCGATCGAGTCGGTCCATTTAGTTGAACCGGTCCGATCTGGAATCGTTTAGGTCGAGTTATCCGATTTTCGTTACTAGACCGGCACAATTTGATGTCAAATCGTCCGATCTAGATAGGTACTTTGGTAAGTTTCATTTATATGCCTAGATCGATCGATCTGTTCACCGGGTCGGTCAGTTCAGGGGGTGCGTTCCAAATCATTATTTCTTATGTCTAGTTTTTTATCGGCTTTTTATGTCAATTGCTACTCATTTATTACTAAACATCCTTAGGTCCTAAATCCTTGCAGAAATACTAATCTACACCATTAAACATGAGAATTGAATCTCACAAACTCAACTCAAAACCACTCACTATGTTTCGGCTCGGATATTGTGCGTCAGTACTTGGTCTTGTGTGTCTCCAAACTCCACGTGCGTTGGTTACTCTCCCCCCTCTCTTTCTCCTCTACTCTCTTTTTGTCCAAAATCGACTGAATTGAGAGGTTGTTTGTTTGATTTCCTTAGTCTACTGTAACGGTTTCCACCATGGCACTAACCTAGTTCTAAGACTATGCAACGGAAAGATAAATTCATAATTTATTAACCCTAGAATATGAAAACACTAAAACACGAAGAGAGATACTAACCTTAACCGGCGAGACTGGACCCGACGACGCCCGTGCACCACTAGAAGACGCCACAAAAAGTAACGCCCTCTACGGTACCTACACCGCAGATAGATCCAGCAAGTGGATCATGGCCTGATAAGGCCTAAAAATTTGTCGCTAGTCCGGAGAGGTTCCCGAGAGCTTATGGTCGTATTAGACTTCTTATAAAGCTCTCTAGATCCCCTATAGGACTTAGGACTTGGTGTGTTGAAGTCTTGAGCCAAACTCCCCTTATATAGAGTTCCAAATCCTTGAAAATGGGTAGAATTTTCGATGTGGGATTTTTGCTCGGTTACTATTTACGGCCACTATTCACCGACACTATTCACGGTCACTATTCATAGATACTATTCACGGTTACTATTCACCGACGCTATTCATCATTTTACAGATTTATGCAAATTCGACCGAGTTTCCACATCGTTTTATTTTTCACTTGAATGAAACTGATTCAACCAAATTTGACCAAAATTGTACGAGTTGCTTTTACTCGATCAAATCAACTCTCCGCCACTTTAGATCATTCTGTGTCCTTTTTTTTTTCTGGGCTGACCAGTCTGATCTATTTTGTGTCCTTTTTTTTTATGATGTTGTACCTTATATTTAAACTAATGTCCTGTCTATTTAATTATTTATCTTTGAAAATAATTAAATATTCAAATCAGATTTCGGGGTATTACAAGATGAGACATGATCGTGTGGTGGAGATGACACGATCGGGTTAACTACGTATGCTGGATCAACAAAGTTGTTTCCGTGCTCCAGAGTCTTTTCTGCCGAGGGTCCTAGAACGTCGATGAAACATGCAGGTCTTGTTGATGACGGTTGTTTGAGGTTTTTGTCCAAGGTGAATTCCACTGTCTCTTCTTCGATCTTCATGGTCAGCTTACCTGCTCTAACATGGATAATGGCATCCGCAGTGTTAAGAAATGGACGACCAAGAATAATAGGTACCTTAGAGTCTTCGTCCATGTTGAGAACCACGAAGTCAACCGGGATATAGAAATTCCCAACGTTCAGTGACACATCCTCAAGTATCCCAGCAGGGTATTTAACGGAATGATCGGCAAGTTGAAGAGTCATTCTAGTGGGTTTTAGTTCACCCACATTCAGCTTCTTGAAGATTGATAATGGAAGAAGACTGACGTCGGCTCCTAGATCACAGAGTACACGATCGATGGAAACATTACCCAATTTACAAGGGATTGAGAAACTACCTGGATCGGACCTCTTAAGCGGAAGCTCGTGTTGGATCAAAGCGCTGCATTCGGGAGTAAGCGCTACGGTTTCTTTCTCAACGACTCTCTTCTTGGTCAGGATGTCCTTCAGATATTTCGTATATGAGGGAATTTACAAAATAGCATCGGTGAATGGCATGGTTACCTCGAGTTTCTTCAGCATCTCAACGAACTTCGCGAATTGACTGTCTTCATTGTGCTTCCTCAGGCGAGATGGAAATGGTACTGGTGGTGGCCTAGGAGGAGGAGGCACATAAGCCGGTTCAGGTTCATCATCGGGGATGTCTACAACTGCAGCATTCGAGCTTTTTCCTTGCTCAACCATTGGTCGGTCTTCATCGTCTACCTGCTTACAACTTCTCAAAGTAATCGCATTGACATGTTCACGGGGGTTAGTCTCAGGTTTACCTGGAAGATATCCGAACGGTCTTTGAGAGGCTGATGCTAGCTGAGCGATCTGGTTGTCTAAGAGCATCAATGCTTGCCAACTGAGCTCGAAATTCCTGATTTGCCTTCTTCTGATTCTGTATAAACTGTATAAGCAAAGTGTGCGTATTAGAGTTGGATTCGGGATTACCTGGAGGTGTGGCATTGATATAGGATTGCCTCGGAGCTCTGTAGTTGGATGTATGATTTCGACCCCTAGATTGAAAAGCAAAACTGGGAGGAATCCTCTGGTTTGAGATGTTGGATGTCTGAAGTTGTTCGGCACGGGATTCTCCACAGTGTTTGACATGTAGGAGAGATTGGGATGAGTCTTCCACCCCGAATTGTACGTGTTCGAGTAAGAGTTATTGGCCACGTAGTTCACACCTTCGACTCTCTCATGCAATGCGTACATACCGAGCTCCTCTTGTGTTGGCGTCAAATGCTTGGTCCTAGAGGGTCGGTTGGAATCTTCGAACTTAGTATTGAGTACAGTTCAATTGTTCGAGAACCATCTGCATGATCTGATCATTGCATTCCCTTGGCAGCTCTAGAGTACTCGCTCAGAGCGTCTTCTTCTTGGGCCACCATCTCAATATGTTCTTCTAGCTCGGCGAATGACTTGTTCTGGATGGTCCCACCGCAAGAAGCTCGAATCAAAGTCTTGGTATCCATTCTGAGTCCTCGAAAGAAGGTGTTGACCAGGTAGTTCTTGTCAAGCCCGTGATGAAGGCAAGACTTTTGATATCCTTTGTACCTCTTCCAAGCATTATAAAGGCTTTTCCCATGATCTTGCTTGAATGAATGAATGCCAGAAACAGCTGCTTGAGTGCATTGAGCTGGGAAAGTTTTTTTTGACATAAACTGCACTTCCAACTGTTCCCAGGTGTGGATGGAATCGGGTGTCAGATCATAACACCATTCCAATGCAGCATCCAAGAGAGTCCAGGGGAAAGCAATCAAGCGGAGTGTATTCTCTGCCACCCTGTTATCTCTCTTGATAGAACGACACATCATCTTAAAGCGAGTTAGATATGCGTTCGAGTCTTCGTTCGGCCTACCCCGGAAAGCATTATTGCCCAACATCTGAATAGTAGACGGATTCAGCTCGAAACTAGACATGTCGATGGCCGGTAGTCGAATACCAACCAAAAGCTTAGTGTGCTTAGGCGTGTTGTACTGGACAAAGGTTGAGTCAACATTGCCCTCGGCACCATCGGGAAGAGCCAAATCTCGGTCGTTCTCCATTTGTCTTCGTTGACGTCGGATATATCTAACGGTCCTTTCAAGCTCACGATCAAGAGGTACTAGGTCTGATGTCCCAGCACCCTTGGTCATTGATACGTGTGTACCGAGTCTAAAATCTATAACCCGATTCACAACTCACC